CAAAAGTTTTGTCTCAACTCGCCCGGCTGTCTCAAGTCACCCAGTTTGACGGTATCTAACTAGATTTACTCCCTAGTGCTTATGGTCCAAGAGCCCAGAGCCGCCAGACACAACTTATTTTCTAAAGGACAGAATATGTGGGATTGAGTAGCACTTATAGGTACTATGAACGTATGTATACTCGCTAAGTTGGGTAGACGGCCAGTTGACTGTTATTTGTAAATAACGGTTTTTCCCATTATGGGAAAAACCGAATCCCATTTCTACTCTAGCCTGGAGTAGACTGTAAGTTTAAGAGGGGGAAATAGATATCTCGCTCACTCTCAAACGCATGCATAGTACCCTCGCGCTCACACTCACGGAAAAACTATTATTGCGTCTGGGGGGATGTTTGGCCGGTGCGATTGGTCTGGCTGAGCACACGTAGTTATGAAATAGTCTCCCCAATAACATGTATAAAAATCAAGCGTTAGAAAAGAAGTTAAAGTACTTCTTAAGCTTTCGCACCTGGTGTCGGTAAATTGGCCGTCTACCCAACTTAGCGGGTATACATACGTTCATAGTACATATAAGTGCTACACAATCCCACATATTCTGTCCTTTAGAAAATAAGTTGTGTCTGGCGGCTCTGCGGGCTCTTGGACAGGGGCGGCTTCTCAATAAGTGCGCTCGTGCGCGCGCACTGCCTCCAAAAACCAAGCAAGAAAATAAAATTAAAATTTTGGAAAGAAAAGAAACTTCAATTAAGAAATACCTACCCAATTTTCTAAATTAGGATAAATATCTACTCATTTTTCTATTTTTAAATTCGCACGAACGGAACGAAAGCGCGCCCTGCGCCTGTCTTGTATATTTTTTTCTCCCGCTTGGTTGTGCTGGTGGTCCGGGTGGTCGGTGTGGAATCGTTCGGCGCTCTGGGTAAATGTGTTTTCTCGCTGTGCGATTGATCGGGAATATACGGTAAGTCGCCCGATGAAAGGGATGCGCCGTGCGCTATTTGAATACACACTTCCAATGTTGTTTCCACTCAATCGAGAATATTTCGATGTTTTTTCACCATTTTGGCGGTTTGACAACTCTGTTGTTCGCGGTTTTTTTTTTAATTATAAATTTCAATATCAATTATGTATTATGGCTAGAATACAAACATTCAAGCCTCTTTTAAATACATATATTTTTGTTTTCGATAATTTTTCCTAAAGTTAAAAGAAAAAAAATCAACATACAAAATAAATGTAAAACAGGACGTGGCACCTCCAAAAAATTTTCCAAGAGCGCACAACCACACTAGGTTGCCACTGGCCGCCACTGCTCTTGGACTATTAGTTCTTGCTATTGTTTGCTCTCAAATGTACTTTTCCTTCATCATAAATCGTATATTTATTACGTGTATACACACTCATCAAAAAAGTCTAGGGAACAAGAAATATTCGTCTTTTGATTTTTAGACAGAATAATTTTTTTTAAAAAGGGACCATATGGGTATTTGTTGAACAAATCTTGTAAAATGTATCATATCGGCTTTTCCAGCAGGCTTTAACAAAATTTAAAAATCTTTCAAAAGTATATTTTGTTCAATTTATAAATGTACTAGCTAATGACCCGCTGCGTTGCCAGCGTGTAAATACATTTTGAAATAATACACTTCTTTTCAAATTTTGTTGTTGATTTTCTATTTAATTTTTTTTTTAAATCCGATATCAGAGTCGCTTGCCAGTGAGTTCAGTGACGCATTTTAAGCACTCCAGAGCTGCTCTAGAGCGCCCCGGGCTGTTTATAGGCGTTCCAGTGTATCAGAGTTTTACGCAACCGAACTTTTTTTTTCGGGACAAAAAATAGCCTATATCACTCTCCTCTATAGCCGATTCGATTGACCGGATTAGATCGATCTGGTTCAATTTAAATGAACCACACTGTGTTCGATTCAAGCTGGATCAGTGCACCCTCATCAACAAAAAATGATCTAGATCACTTAAATTGAACCCAAATCGATCTAATCTGGGTCAATCGAATTCACCTGAGAGATATGTGGTATTAATTCAAGATCGGTCCAGCCGTTCTTGAATTGAAAAAATAATAAAGTTACGTCGGTTGAATGCAAGCCTAAATAAATGAAATATAGCAACGTTATTTCATGCTGTCAAAAAAAGTTGGGTTATATTGTTATGTAATGTGAATGAGTTTGTTTACAATTAAATTAATAGTTAATTCAAAATTAATTTCTTTTTCCGAGATGCGTAACCTATCCACAAACCTTCCTTGGGATGGCCATAACAACCTACCAAAGTTTCATCGTAATCGGATAAGTGGTTTTGGAGCGCATATCCGGATACCCCGTGAACTTTGATTTTTATATATATAGATTCAGTTGCATCTTGTTCCCTAGACTATTTTGATGTGTGTATTATATTAAAAATTCATAAGTAGGTTAAGTAAAAATGATATTCTATTTATTAACAGTTTAATTTTTTTTAACCATATTTTCAAAAACATCGATGTTTAGAAACATCGATATTTTCAAGCCGATGTTTTTACAACATTGATTGTGCATATTCGATGTATCATTTGATGTCAACATCGATGTTTTCAAAATTTTGCGCATCCCTAATATTTTATCTCCCGAATAGCTCCTCGCGCAGTTAGGGATGTCCAATGGAAAAATACATCGATGTTTTTCCGATGTAATGCATCGTTAGGTGGTATCGATTTTTTCCGATACATCGGGGGAAAACACCGATGTTTGCGATGCATCGAATTGATCCAATAAAAAATTAAATCAAAAAAGAAAAGTTTATTTATTTACAACCACATAGGTAATGTTGACATTTCCGACTTTTCAAAAGTTTGAAAGTGACACTTTTTTGAATTCTACTTTCCACCCGGGTGGAAAGTGATCCCGGGTGGAAAGTGCTCACTTTCCACCCGGGTGGAAAGTAAGTCCTATTTTCCTAAAATGTTGAAGACCAGTCCTACATGTCAAACGTTTTTTTAGATAAGTCAGAACTTGTCTATAAAAATTTTTAATTTTTTAAAAATATTTAGTCAAAATTGTAATGGTTGTAATTGTTGTAAATAAAATAGTATACAAACCTCGATAGGAAGTTTCATTCCTGTCTCGAGATTATAGTTAACTTCGACGCTTCGCGTCTCAGTTAACTAACTAATCTCTCGACAGTAATGAAACACTTCCCACCTCGGTATGTAATATACTATTTCCATCTAGTAAATTTTCATACAAAACAGTAAAATCAAGAAACCAGATGAGAAATATTAAAATATTATAAAAACATGATTATACATCTCAATATTTTCTTGTCTAAACTCTGAAAAAATAAAATTTTACTCAGTCGGTTACCCTAAAGTTACTTTGTTTGTCTTTTGTGTATGGTTAGTGCGAGGCAGTAAACTTCCATTATTTCAAATTTCTGACATTTTGGACGATTTTGACGTTTTGCTCTTCGACGATGACGTAATTTTACTTAGAAAATTTATTTTTTCTACGAGCGTGCGGGAAATGGCTCTTCCCGCACGATTTGCTGTGCGGGAAGACTTTCTTCCCGCACCGGTGCGGGAAGAGATTTCTTCCCGCACTCAGTGCGGGAAGAGTTTGAAATAATCATTGTGACATGGAATTGTTTGTATTGTTGATACACCTATACAGTGAAATTATAGGTAATCCGGCTGCTGCTGAATTTTGCCATACGCGGCTAGTGGTGTTATGGACTAGGTTATGGATCTATGCGTACGTTTACCAGCTCTTAACTGTTGTCAAGAGTTTAGTAAGTAGTTGGAAAAGAAATCGCGTTCAGCGGCACTCAGCAAAAGCCGCTTTTTGTCAGCTGCTGCCGATTTCTCTAGCGGTAAAAATGTACGCCTACTAACTCAACTTATGCTTTAGACATGCTGTATCTCAACATGTCATTGATCTCAACTGCTTCACGCTGCAAGTTAGCAGCTGAGCACTGGTGAACGTACCCTACACACAACTAGTTTTTCAGGCTGTTCATTTTGTACTTGCTACCTGCTCGAAAAATCAGGAAGAGGGAGCTGCTATTTATGAGCTTATTACATGGGAATTATGGGACAAGTCACTGCCTCACGCCGATCAGCTGCTGAGATCTGCGTGAAGCAAGAAAAAAAGCAGTACAAATGAACGGCCTATTTGTGATTTGGCAAATGTCATAGTTAAACCTGTGAAGGTAAAATCAAGGTAGACAACTCAAGTAGACAACTATACTAATAAACGAAAATTGAAAAAAAAAAAAAAATTATGTTATTTTTCGCTTCGTAGATAAAACGTTGTACATCAGACGTGCGTTTAAACATGACTACAAAACTCGTGTGATTAGAACGACTCGGTCTAAGACCTCCTCGTTCTAATCTTTCACACGCGTTATAGTAATCATGTCCATAAACGCACTTCTTGTAATGTAAAATACTATTATTTTCTGAAATTCTCGAACTTTAAAAAAAATAGTTATATTATAGCTGGGTTCGGCTATTCAGCGCGGAGTTGGAGTGGAGTGAACAGAGCTAATGGAGTCACCCCTAATACGGTAAAAAGCAATACCCGAACCTTAGCCCGAACGGCTGGAGTGCGATTGGAGTCACTCGGAGTGCACGGAGTGAGCAAGCCGAACCCACCTTATGTATAAACTGAAAAACTAGGGAAAAGATAAAAGTTTGAACACCTCCGGTGCAACATACGCAAAATGAAAGGAACGGACGCTAAGCACCTGTGCTGGTCCGGAGCCGTTCCCATCTGTGAAAGGAACACACTTTAGTTGTATTCCTTTCAAGAGTTTGGAACACTCGAGCTACTCACTTCGGTGCTAGTCGACGCCGATTTGAAAGGAAGAGATGCGTGGTGCAACAAACAGATTTCGAAAGGAATGAGCTCGTAACGCCCCGGAGCTGTTCCGGAGCTCCTCTTAGGTGTGAAAGGAATACAACTAATGAAAACCCCTATTCTTCTCGCTTCATTTGAAATGCGACAAAGGAAAAAAGTGTGGCAACGTTGAGTTGACAGGTTAACCAACAAAACAAAATTATCAACCAAGGACGTCCAACGTCCAGCATACCAACCAGCACTTACGTAAATGTCAAAAATCTGAAAAAATCTTCGATTTTTCCTTCGAAGAGAAGAATTTTCGGAGATTTTTGGACTTTGAAGACAATACTCAATCAATTATAAATTCGCAGGGAGTTAACGGACCGCAAGACCCAGAAGTTACGTAACTTATTGACATTGAACCCTTCTTCCTGTACGACATGGCTGCCAGAGTTGGGCGAATTTGCGGAGCTGGACTTTTCAAGTCCAATACAACTTCTAGTTTGAATCAGGTAAATTAATAGAATGCCTACATTAGTTTGTAATGTTTGAGTTTGTGTTTCTCAATTCTTACAATGGTACCATTATTGCTGTAGTACTTCTTGTAATTAGTTTAAAATACGCCTGTTATATCACCATACTATAGTCTGAAGAACGTTTTTTTTTTATATTTTAGATTAGTTCCTATTCAACAACCAGAGATTGGTCAAGAGGAAGAAAAGCAGTAAGTAATGCCCCTGTTTATTTGTGAGTTAAGTGCATAAAAGTCTAATAACACAGTTTCTAAATAACGCTTGGTGGAAATTATGTTAAAATTGTTAAAATACCCATTAGCTACATAATACTTTGTTCTTTAAAGCCTTACATGATATTTACAAGCAGTTTTAGAGATTTTTCTATTTTTTTTATAGTAAGGTAAGGATGTATATTTATATAAGTATTTCTTTTCTTTATCACCTTTAGCTGGTTGGTAGCCTGGGTATACTGGCAGGAGGAGCTGGAGCCATTATTTTCGCCCTGGACAGGTCCGTGAGGGCTTCTGAATTAGAATTGCACCCACCTAAGAACCCATGGAGCCACAATGGCTGGTTTGATTCCTTAGATCATGCTAGGTAAAAACATAATTCAGTTTGTAGCTTGCAGCCTTCATTATTCTATCATTTCTATCAATACTTAAAAACCACCAGAATAAGGGTGGGTATTATAAAACTACTTTGAGAGTTAACTTAAAGTTAACTTCTGGAATTACATGTAATTCAAAAAGTTAACTGTCAGAGCAGTTTTATAATACCCACCCTTAAGGTCCGCTCAGAGCTTTCTTAACGTAAGACTTAAGACTTAAGCCGTAAGACTTTAGCCGTAAAACTTAAGAAAAAAATGGCAGTCAATTCAGAGCTAACTTAAAATTTAAGAAGTAAGAAATTATATTATATTCTTAGGTTAGGTTCCATATATATCTAGTAATTCAGTGCTGCCGCATCCGCCGATTTTGCGGTCAATCCACTAAATTAAACCTGTTTTTTCTAGCATACATGTATTATAAAATTATATTTGAAAAAAAATTTAACCACCAGAAACAAAACAAAAACCAAAACAATCAATAACCAAAACAAAAACAATCAAAAACATGTGGCCAAATGTCAGTTTCACGATCGGCCGCTTTACGAAACCTCGTGATCCTTAACGAAAACTTAAGCCGTAACGTAAAAAATGGAATTGAACCATTTCTTACGTCTTACGGCTTAAGTCTTACAGTGGCACTATAAATTGTCCCATTGATTTACATGGTGTTTATTTTTCTTAAGTCTTACGCTTAAGTTTTAAGTCTTACGTTACGGAAGCTCTTAATCCAGCTTAAGTCTTTTCAATACATAATAATTGAAAGGGTGATAGAATAAAACTTGCATTTTGAATTTCTTTATCAACATACATAATTCAACAAATCCTTTAATAAGTGTTGAAAAACACTGGTACGAAGTACCCTTTTAAAAAATATATTATGTTAATGATATAGTTTCTGATGCAGTCCCTTTTGATAAACACCAAGAAATTTTAAATATTGTTAAGAGCTACAATAACTACAGCTACAGTGTACCCTTCACTATTGCAATTGAAAATAACTATAGTATTTCATTTATAGATACAATAACTCTTGGAACAAATGACTCATAAAAATGTCATTTTCCTTGAAATGGTCGGTGCAAACGGCCATTAAGGCCGTATCAGACGTGCCGTTGCCGATTCTGTTAGCCGTTGCCGTCGCAGTTGCAATCACACTTGACACCGTTCCGTTACCGATTACTGGTCGCTTGAAATGTTTATGTCAAAATTTCGCAGCTAAAAGATTAAAAGTACAGCGTCGAACGTCGTCGGGAAGTTTCTTCTGCATTGCTGTGCTATATGATTACATTGGAAGAAGAGGAAAAAGAAAGATCCAAACCAAAATAGGTTTGGGTGCAAGACCGGAGAAGCCATAAATTGCGAAACAAAAAAGTGACGTTTAGACACATGTCACATGCTATTCATATGAGTGCTTTCATTGGCTACGGTTCAGAACGGCCTCGTAAAATTTAGACACCAACCTAAACATACAACGGCAATCGCAACCAGAAGCAGGTACATTTCGATTGGTCGAATTCCCAATCGTAATCGTTAATAGTAATCGGCAACGGTACGTCTGATACGGCCTTTAGAACTAGAGATTTTAATAGTTTGCAAAATACATTTTAATTGAAGGTAAAATCCATCTGATGTGATTTTTGTTTTGTCACATCGATAAAAGACACCTGGAGCTTTATAGGAAATATTCTAGTTTTGGAAAAAAAATCGGAAATAAAGTAGTTGATTTCTTAACTTTACTCCTTCATATCAACAAGATTCGTTGAGGAGGTTTTTTTTACCTTTTTTCCTGGGGATCCCTGAAGGGTCCCCTACAACGTAGTGCTTATATGCTACGCCATTTTGGAATCACCCTGTATAAAAACACTTTCAGAAAAAATTGTGCAATAATTAAAAAACGAATCAATCAAAATTTCTTTTAAAATTATAAGAACCATTGGTAATTTGAGCACGATACTAAAGGAATACATATGAATAAATAAGAATAAAATGGATTACATGAGAAAATAAGAATACATGGGATTACATGTGGCTTGTTACACCTCGTCATTATCCATGAAAATCAATTGATTTATGTTAAGGATGGGTCCCTTGTTCCAACTGCTTCATTATTTTCAATTTTGTGTTCTATTCTTCCATTATATTCTTCAACATTATCTTAGCTTGAAACAAAATTGTATTTATAATACACAAATGATCAGCTTCTAACGTAAATTGCTACTTAACCTTCCTGGAATAAAAATGGCATCACTTTTGTTGAGTGGGCAGATGAGATCGAAAATCTAAGATTTCTCATAAAGTAACAGCTACTATCAGAAATTCTACTGTATTTTTGAATATAGAATCTTCCAATTCAATTTTAGTTTTTGGCTAAAACCATAATAAATATTGAATACAGAAAATTCAGACTTATTGTGTTCAATTTTTGAAAGATCTGTCTCAGTGAGAACCAACATGTACTTCTCCACTCATGGTAATAGTACCTAAAACAAAGGTAGTACATATTAATATGTAAGTGTTTGAGTCAAATATTTGTTTGTACCGGGTGTCAAGTTTTAAAGTACCACCTAACTTCTTTATGTACGATCTAAAATAAAAAAGTTACAGGTGGTTACATGTATCATTCACATTGGTTTATTAACAAACTAATAAAGGAAATTAATTAGTAAAACTAGATTTCTTCAACAGTGTAAGAAGAGGTTACGAAGTTTACAAGCAAGTATGTTCGGCTTGTCACTCATTGAGGTTTATTGCTTACCGTAACTTGGTAGGAGTGACACATACTGAGGAAGAAGCTAAGGCTGAGGCAGAAGAACAAATGATTACTGATGGACCTGACGAAGCTGGTAACATGGTTAGTAAAATAATTTGATCTGATGTTTAACAACAGCTTCCAAGAAACTATACTGATAAGATTCATTTCAGTTCAAAAGGCCTGGAAAACTGTCCGACTACATCCCCAGTCCTTATCCCAATGAAGAAGCTGCTAGAGCAGCTAACAATGGTGCCTACCCACCTGATTTGAGTTATATTACGTTGGCCAGACATGGAGGTGAAGATTACATTTTCGCTCTTCTAACGGGTTACCATGATGCTCCTGCTGGAATTGCTCTAAGAGAGGGCCAGTATTTCAATCCGTACTTTGTTGGTGGTGCTATTTCAATGGCCCAATCTTTGTACAACGAAGTAATTGAATATAGTGATGGAACACCAGCCTCTGCCAGTCAACTTGCTAAGGTAACTATTTATAATTGGTTGAGGTTTTATTTGGGATTGGATCGAAATAAAACAACAGAAGTCTGTTATTTCAGATTGTCGACGTTTCGCAATATATTATTGCATCTTCAGGACACTACAAAATGGTAAGACAATGTTATTGTGCAGAGTCCTAACAACTCCAGTTATGTTTATAGTATTGGGTACTTACATTTGAGATTGACTTTCTATGTCATAACATGAACAATATACGAAGTTGTTAGGTAGGTACAGATTCATAAGAGACGTTACATTCACATACATGGTACAGTTTAAAACTTATCAAAAAATATCACAAAAACGTTATAAAAATAATCACACATTAAAACTTAAAAAGTAAATGATTTTAAAATAAAATATATAAGACAGACATAGCCAGCTGTTACTATTACAATAATAAATTAAATAGTGTTATCGTTCGTGGGAGCAAACAAAGAAAACCAAGTAGGGAATGGCATCCGAATCAAAAAACACTAATATGAAAGCTTTTTTGTGATGATTATTTTGTTGTTGATAAAATGTTAAAATAGGCGTTACTTAAATTTTGTATATCTGTTCTTTTATTGACACAATTTTTATCTTTTTGTATTTCGATCATCTCAGCAATTAGTCTTTTTCTGTAGTTAAATTGTGTCTGTAATATTGTGGTGTTGTCAAAGTCGAAGTTATGTCCTGTCTCTAGTTTATGTTCTACTAATGCTGTTGGGTTAGTCTTCAAGAGAAAGTTTTTTTGGTCATTTTGGTGTTTCTTCAGTCTTTGTTTCAAATATCTACCAGTCTGTCCGATATAGTTTTTATTACATTGAGAGCAAGGAATATTGTACACCAAATTTGATTTTAATTCCTTTTTAGTCTTTGATTTGGTTTTCGAGAAAAAATGCCTTTTTATGGTATTTTGGCACTTAAAGGTGATTTCGACTTTTTCTTCTTTCTTAGATTTATGGCCCTTGAATGTTCTTTTTATTCGTTCGGAAAGCTTTCCAATATAGGGGATTTTGCAAAAAAGTTTCTGATCACTTTGTTTTGTTATTTTTTTTTTTTTGAATTTGTTTTTTTTAGAATTTTTCTTATTAGAGATAATGAATAATTATTATTCAATAACATCCTTTCTATGTACTTCAGGTTCTTACTATGAAATTTTCCAGACGACAGTGCGAGAGCTCTAGTTTTCAAATTATTAATAATATTAATTTTTTGTTGAAGAGGGTGTTCAGACCAATAATTTAAAAATCTTTCGGAAAAACTAGGTTTGTGAAACCAATCAGTCTCTATGTTCTCTCCATATCTTAATATTAGTACATCTAAAACTCCCATTTCAACTTCCGTTGTATAAACGTTATGTTGATGATATCCTAACATCGATCCCTGAACATCAAGAAGCAACCATACTTAATATTTTTAATAGTTATCATCCCAGAATTCAATTTACCATCGAGAAAGAAAACCAACAAAGTATAGCTTTCCTAGATGTACTAATATTAAGATATGGAGAGAACATAGAGACTGATTGGTTTCACAAACCTAGTTTTTCCGAAAGATTTTTAAATTATTGGTCTGAACACCCTCTTCAACAAAAAATTAATATTATTAATAATTTGAAAACTAGAGCTCTCGCACTGTCTTCTGGAAAATTTCATAGTAAGAACCTGAAGTACATCGAAAGGATGTTATTGAATAATAATTATTCATTATCTCTAATAAGAAAAATTCCAAAAAAAAAACAAATTCAAAAAAAAAAAAAATAACAAAACAAAGTGATCAGAAACTTTTTTGCAAAATCCCCTATATTGGAAAGCTTTCCGAACGAATAAAAAGAACATTCAAGGGCCATAAATCTAAGAAAGAAGAAAAAGTCGAAATCACCTTTAAGTGCCAAAATACCATAAAAAGGCATTTTTTCTCGAAAACCAAATCAAAGACTAAAAAGGAATTAAAATCAAATTTGGTGTACAATATTCCTTGCTCTCAATGTAATAAAAACTATATCGGACAGACTGGTAGATATTTGAAACAAAGACTGAAGGAATACCAAAATGACCAAAAAAACTTTCTCTTGAAGACTAACCCAACAGCATTAGTAGAACATAAACTAGAGACAGGACATAACTTCGACTTTGACAACACCACAATATTACAAACACAATTTAACTACAGAAAAAGACTAATTGCTGAGATGATCGAAATACAAAAAGATAAAAATTGTGTCAATAAAAGAACAGATATACAAAATTTAAGTAACACCTATTTTAACATTTTATCAACAACAAAATAATCATCACAAAAAAGCTTTCATATTAGTGTTTTTTGATTCGGATGCCATTCCCTACTTGGTTTTCTTTGTTTGCTCCCACGAACGATAACACTATTTAATTTATTATTGTAATAGTAACAGCTGGCTGTGTCTGTCTTATATATTTTATTTTAAAATCATTTACTTTTTAAGTTTTAAGGTGTGATTATTTTTATAACGTTTTTGTGATATTTTTTGATAAGTTTTAAACTGTACCATGTATGTGAATGTAACGTCTCTTATGAATCTGTACCTACCTAACAACTTCGTATATTGTTCATGTTATGACATAGAAAGTCAATCTCAAATCTAAGTACCCAATACTATAAACATAACTGGAGTTGTTAGGACTCTGCACAATAACATTGTCTTACCATTTTGTAGTGTCCTGAAGATGCAATAATATATTGCGAAACGTCGACAATCTGAAATAACAGACTTCTGTTGTTTTATTTCGATCCAATCCCAAATAAAACCTCAACCAATTACAATTAAGGGATCGACAACAAACTAACCAAGTAACTATTTATATTATGATACTGGCCTTGAAGTTTCTGAACAAATTGATACAAAAATACTAACCCATCTTTTATTAGGATGTATCAACTTTCTTGAAATGGACCGCAGAACCAGAATTCGACGATCGCAAACGCATGATGGTTAAGGCGATCGGCATTTTCACCATTTTAACAATGGTGTCCTATTACGCCAAAAGATTCAAATGGGCAAGTTTGAAAACAAGAAAAATTGAATTCAAACCCAAAAGTAAGTAAATTATGAACAGCAAAAATGGATTTACCATCCCAGACAGCAACTTTGAGATAGCAGCCCTACTACCATTATCTTTTTAAACATATTTATGCTTTAAGTAAAATCTTTTTATTGTAAATATACATTGAAAAAAAAAACAAGGACTTTTTAGTTAATTAAATTTAGATTGTTACCAACATCATAGCAGGCATACAATATCAATAATTTTTTTTGAATTTTTGATTTGTCTATAACTTACCGGAGTTTGTGTCACGTTGTTAAATAAATTATACATTTTAGTAGTGTGTTTTATTTTAGCATCCTAAATATTTTAATGACTCATGAACAGTATTCCAAGAGCTTCATAAAGAAAGTTCAAAAATGAAAACTGGAAAATTTAAATAAGTATGCACAAAACCCCAAAAACCTCGGAGGCAGGAATATATTTTCAGTGACATAAGGAATCTAACATATGCATATTAAAGTTGAAGAAATTGAATTTGAATCCTTGGAAAGTCGATCCCCTAACATATAGAAGTATTCTGTCATATCAATAAATAACAAGCTACGCTGAGATAATATCGGTGAAACATAGAGTTGACAAAATTGAAAAGGAGGTTAAAACAACTGTGGTTTGTAGAATTGTAGACAGCTAGTCACGGCAGACACAAGGTTTCGGGGCGCTGAATCATCTTTGTTGGACCTACTGCTGGTAACAGAAAAAAAAAGATCTGAAATATTGAATATCACTCACAACTGGGGCTGAGCGACCATGCAGTAATCACGGCCATGGCACAGTTGAGACTTGAGCAACGGCCAACTGCAACTAGGAAAGTACTTAAACGTAACTTCTGGAAGGCAGACTATGACAGCATTAATGTCTATATTAATAACAGGCTTGCAGGCACAAATACTGACAATATAGAATTCAGTGAATTTGAGGGCATAGTGAAGGAAACCATTGAAACCTATATCCCACTCAAACCTAAGCTTGTGAATCATGAAAAAACCATGGTTAAATAATGCAATATTTAGAGCAATCGAGAGAAAACGAACACTTTGGGATAAATACGCCAAGAACAAAACAGCAGATAATTACAATTTTTACAGAACTCAGCCAGATCAGGGCATCCAGGATAGAATACGAAACTGGTCTCTTGGACAACAGAGACGAGAAACAGTTTTACATGTATGTTAAGCGAACATTAAACAGCAACGCATCCGAGTTTGTGCTCAGAGAACCAATCACGGGAGTGATTATCTCTGATCCTCAGAAGACAGCTAACCCATTCGCAGATCACTTTGTGAAGGTATACAGTATACACCTAGTAAATTTTTCATCGCTATTGCAGAATACTAGATCTATTGAATCATTAAATTGTCATTAACAACCATAGATGTCATCACTGAGGAAAAGGCTATTCAATAAGCAATCTCTACTCTGAAAAGAGAATCTAGTCCAAGCCTAGATGAAATACCGGCAATATTTTGAAAAAATTGCCAAAGGACGTTGGCTCCAGTGATAACCTTCCTCTTGCAGTCACTAATCACTCAGTAAACTGCGCCACAGGGATGGTCTCGAGGATACCTAGTGCCAATCTACAACCTATGCAAGATCCTGTAAAAAATAATACTTCAGGAAATGACATCTTTCCTTGTTAAAAATAAGACCATCCCACCCACCCAACATGGATTTCTCCTCCAACGATCTACCACAACCAACCTACCTGCATAAACTCATGGACGAAAGAAGTGGACAGTGGCCATCCGGTGGCAAAGTGGCATTCAAGAGGTTATTATTCAAACTGCAACACTTTGGAATCAGGGGTGAGCTTTTCGGATGGATAGGCAGTTTTCTACAAAACCGAACCTTTCAAGTGAGAGCCAAATGGGCATTACTCTGATGAATACTAGAATACTAGGTCCTTAGTCGGGTGCCATAGGGATCGGTGTTGGGGCCACTGCTGTTCACCGTATACATCAGCGATCTTCATTCTCTTGTAAAGACAAACATTATTTTTTATGCTGACGACACAAAAATATACTGCAATACGTGATTGAAGCACATCACAACCTTTTAGACGATCTGAAAACACTCGAGAAATGGATCAGCGAATGGCAGCTAACACTCAACCCCGACAAGTGCACTGTACCAAATATTGGCCCTAAAAATCCAAACATACCTTACAGCGACGTTATCGTGAAGGCTGTCACTGAGCAGAAAGATCTGGGTGTCATTATCCTCAAATCACCTAAAATGGGAAGCCCATATTTCTTCAGTTGTCAAGAGGACGAACTCTTTTGTATACCTCATACAGAAAGCTTTTAGTGACAGATCCATCCTCATGATTAGCAAAATATGTAAAACATATATCAGGCCTAAATTGGAGTTCGCACATTCGGTTTGGACCTCATACCTTACCTGGTTAAGGACATTGAGATCTTGGAAAGAGTCCGGCATAGAGTGACAAAACTCCTCCCTGAAATCAGAAATCTCTTATACGAAGAAAGACTACTGAGATATGACATAACAACCCTAAAAGCTAGACGAGAGAGAGGGGACTTGATTAAGACGTACAAAATTTTAAATCACCATTATTCTCTAGATTTGCAACTGGACATTTTCAGTCTAAATACTAACCAGCAACTCTGAGGCCATACTAAGAAGCTGGATAAGGAGAGATGCTTGAAGCTGATCAGAAATAATTTTCTGAAGAATAGGGTTGTCTATCAGTGGAACGCCCTTCAGGAAAGCACAGTGAGTGCTCCTTCAAAGAACGAATTCAAAAACAGACTTGACTGAGCCCTGGAGAGAGCTAGACTGAATTTTGAGCATTACATGCAACTCATAACAGTGAAAACAAGGATATAACAATACAGTAGTTTCATCGGCATTGCCACTTACTGCCGTTCAAACCTATAATAATAATAAGGGTTCCATAAGACAGCCCTACAGAACTCTGGAGTAGATTAGGTACTAATATTTATTAAAAAGGCAAAGAAAACACATTTTGTTTAGTACATGTCTGTAATTTTAAACGTTGAAGCTAATGAAAGTTGTAGACTACAATAATCCACTTGTTATATTGATTCATTCACAAAAATAACCTCAGATTAATACAAAGTAGCATTTTTTAAACCAAACTACCTATTAAAAGAATAGACAATACTAAATAGATTTATGAATTTCTCCAAAACTTTAGCTACCTATGGCAAATACATTTCAATGCTGTGCTTGCAGATATCAGGTGACTTACGGTTCTTTGTGCACAATGGTTTTGATGATTCTGAGTTTAACATTAATAATTGTATAATGGAATTTGTGAGAATTAATATATATTATATCTGTATTTACAGTTGAGTGAAAAAAAAATTATTACACCTAAAGTCCGTTCATGAAGTCCATAGACTTTATGAACGGACTATACACTTTTTCTTAAAATTAAGTAAACAACAAATCATAAAGCGAAATTGCATCCATTAAATGACATCAAAAAAGTCCACTTTTCATTCCTTCTTGGACCTAAAAACAAAAATTTAGAGTAAAATAGTTATTTGTTTTACTAGGCAGAAAAGTACAAGATTTAATGCCGCGGCTGGTGTTTCATAGCCGAGGCTAGGAAACCAGCCAAGGCATTAAATCTGCTTTTCTGCCATGTAAAACATATAATTTTTTCTCCGAATGTTTAAATTCACATATGGACATCTTTTTTATATCTATTTCATTCATTATTATTATCCAAATAATTAAATTATTTTGACAATTGTCATTGTCACTGTCAATTTCAAATACCAAATTGAGTGAAATTATTACCTGGAACGTTGTGACACTGTCACTTTTAATTCCTAGGCAGTAAAAGTCCACTTTTACTGCCTAGGCAGTAAAAATACAACTTTTGATCCTGTCAAGTATCATTAAAAGGCCGCTTTTACTGTCATTCGGAGAAAAATTATATTATTTGTTCAATTTTATTCATTGAATAAATTAGTGGTAAGAACCATATAATTTCTAATTTAACAGAGGAATAAAAATGTGTTTGATAATAAACTATGCGGCATTCAAACTGGAACACCTCAGTTTTTGGTAAGACTTTTGGTAAACTTATACAAAGGCCGTTCTGCTCAAATTTTTTGGGATGAAATGCCTTTTAATCTACTTAATCAGTAACATTTTTCTACCCACCAGCTTGAATTAAAGTATGGAAAAATGTAATGGTTAATTGGAAGAAAGTCCAATTTGACCATACACAACAAGTTACTGCTTTATAAGCAAATACTGAAAACAGTATGGGCATATGATATTCAACTTTGGGGTTGTACTAAAGAGAGTAATATACAAGTTATAAAAAAAATCCAGAATAAAGTACTAAGAAACATTGTTAATGCACCTTGGTACGAACGAAATAGTGACCTACATCGGGACCTTAAAATTGAAACTGTAACTACAAGAAAGTACGCAAAAATTCATAAAGATAGACTACATCTGCATGTGAACGTGGAAGCGATTGAACTCCTTGACAACTCTGAGCTAATTTGAAGATTAAGAAGGGTAAAGCTGTGCACTAAAATTAAAAAACACAATGAAATAGTCCTATAAACACATCAAAATTGTGATTTTCAGTTTAAGCAAATTAGGTTAAAACAAGATGTCATTGGTTAAAACAAAATTGCTGATTAATCTTTTACTGACTAGATAGTTATGTAATAAACACAATGTGTTTGACAAAAAAAAAAAACCTTGCTCAAAGATACAAGATGTTCCACAATGTATCTTTTAGTAGGTTAGGGGAAATATGTTGCCAACTAGAAATGAAATGGCTAAATCAGAACATTCTTTCACCACTGAAAATTTGAGCAAAATCGCATCACTAGTTTATTATTTACAGACTTTCAAAAAGTATTCCAAAATTTATGTGTTTGAATGATGAATCATGTACCTACATAAAGGGTATTTTAGAAATAAATTAATTAACTTACCATCATAGAAGAAGATATCGTTAATTTAATTATTTATTATTATTATTATTAGTATTAACGTGAAACGGGCGGCGGCGGTCCGTAATGAAAGTACATTTGAGCTGGTGCGCCTGTAGCTGGAGGCGGGGGTGGCGGCGCATTGTATATCAAACTTCCAGGCGGCAGCTGGTAAGCCTAAACAACAAATGAAATAACATAAATATGTAAATTAATATATATTTGGAAAATTACCTGATGGAATCCGGGTATTCCTGGAGGTGGTAAATGTGATTGGAAATTCATCATAGATGTTGTTTGTACGTTGGGCGGTGGAGGAGGTGGCGCCACTTTTTGTGGTGGCGGTGGTAGAGGAGGTTGCTGCAACTAGGGAAAAAAACCTTACAGTCACAGTCAAAGTGGGCATTACAAAATCATAGCAACATTTCACTAGTCAAATTTGAAGATTTTACTATCATTACGTCCAAAGGCATATACAAGATATTAGCAAGCTGCCGCCTTCACTTAGATGAGCGTAGGAAAATGAATTTCAAATGATTGCCTCAATTCTTGCAGTTTAATATTGCCAAAATTAAGAAGCAAAAACTTGCCCTTATGAAGATTTTTATTCTGGGGTTTCAAAGTGAAAAGAACACTTACTGCATAATTCACATTATTTATTTATTATAAAACTTTGTGTTGTATACAAGCTTCAATAACAACCCGCGATCGTAATTTAAACTCTTCTGTTGTACGGATTCTGTCAAACTCTTCGTCCCACATTTGAACACCTTCTTCCTTATTTTCTTCTTCTGCATTTCTTAGCTCTAAAGTTTTTTCGGGTTTTATTAATTTTAACACTAGCAAGTCGAAAGCTAAGAATAAACCAAACAATCCATATTTTTCCCATTGCGATTTCAATGATTTTTCTGGCAGTAATTTTTCCGGATCGCTTCCAAGTGAAAGGGAAAACGATGAAAAACTTTTATAATAAATTTCTAAGTAAAAATCTAAATTGGCTAGTTCATCCTCTCCAGCGCTTGAATAAAACAGAAATCCTAAATCCTGGATTAGCTTTCTCTTGCCATTTGAAAGTCTACGATTTTAGCGCCTATGGGATCCCCAGAAATCTTAAATAATTGAAATTCAAATATCAACACATATCATTGTTGGTAAAAATATACTTACTTCATATTTGAAAAGAAAATTATTTGACCAACAGTCTCCGTGAATAAAACATTTATAATTTCCTTTGTAATCACTTAAATCCAGTAATATTTCTTTAACATTTTCCATTTTCTTGAATTTTTCACTTTCTACTGAATCGCAAACTTTAAATCCTGCTACAACGTTGTTTGCAATCGTTTTGTATATAATATCCTTTGAAAGGGTCTACAAGATTATTATAAGCTAGTGAATGTTGATCCTTGTGAGCAAAAGACAAGGCATGGAATTTGGCAAATAATTTAAAAAGCACTTCAAGATGTTTTCTATTAAAAAAGTGGCTTTTTTTGTATAGTGTATAGCCTTTAGGGTTAATATTTTCCATCACAATGTATTTTGAATTGCCAAAAAAGTATCTGGGGATTGGATCAAACTGGTTACTCTGGAACTTATTCAATTCTTTCATAATTTTCCCATAAAAATAGTTTTCGTTTTCAAAAAGTTGAGGCAGATTAACAAAAATACCTGCTTCCTTTGGCGAATTCTTGACAATAATCGACAATTTTTCTATATTATGTTCATTTATTATTTCACAAAAATATAATTCCGATAAAAAGCTCTCAGTTTTGGACGGGGTCGAGTTGCAAGAAATGGTATAGTTACGAATTTGTTGCTCTTCTGCCACTTTTTTTAAAATTTCTTCAAGGTTCATTGTTTATATTCAACTGATTTCACACAAATGAATGTGTTGGATATGGCGATATATCACTTGTAATTTCTCATAATAGAGAGTCAATATTATCAGATAGTGAGTTTGGGACAATTTTTATTTGAAGTGATGCTTTATGTAATATGATGTAATATCAACTATCAGCTCTTATTTTTGGTGGTTTTGAAAACTTTCCTCTCACCCAAAATGTATAAGTGCATGTTAAGATTATAAAAACTAAGTTTTTATTACTTGTCCTTAGAGAGCATGCAATATCTCTCTATAATTTAATTAATAATGAGATATTCGCTAGAAAGTTGATTATATAATATATTCTGATTGCTTTGGTCTGGACTTTAGACCTAAATACTTGAGAATCATTTTAACTGTGAATATTGTAGTGTGGGTGCATTAAACTCTCAATTAGACTGACTCAAATTTGTGAATGTATTTTAACTTGAAATTTTGTGACGTTCTAAGCATGTTTTTTGTAATTGACTTGAATAAAAGAGTGCAATGAAATGAAATGGTTTTGTTCCAAAACTATACATACCATATTATTAGTTACGTATACACCAAGTGAGTTAAATGGATGTTTATTCAGAGAATAAAGTTTAACCCTTGAGCCCTTTCGAGTAGGCTAATTTTCTTCGAATGAATAAACATATTAACTCACGTGATGTATACAAAATTTTATTCCATTTTGTGGAAATTTAAAAAAATAAAGTACAAGGAAAAATATCACATGGTGCCAGCTAATGCGGTATCTCCTGATATTTATTTTAAATGTCATAGTAAACAAAGTGCCTTTCACAGAACATAAAGATCTTGACCTAACCTCAAAATGTCTGGCTAATCCAAGAGCAATCATTACTAAATTTAAACTAGACATAAACAATATTAACAAGAAATGCATAAACATGAAAACACAGTTTAGTAACCTTAAAGAAAAATACGAGAAAAAGGTGGGTGATGGTAACAGTGTGAATATGCAAGATAAACAAGCACTGAAGGTCAAAAAGGACAGCCGAGTTGAAGAATTTCATAAACAGATTGATGATTTAAAAAGGGATGATAATGGACTCAGGGTAGTGAATAGTGTCATGGATAAAAATGACATTCTCAAGGAGCTTAATATAGAGTTAAAGGATAACAACTGTCTTTTGAAGGAAAAAATAACTCAATCACAGCAGCTACCTGATTATGCCCATATCGCTGCCCAAGCATCAAAATTAATATACCAAGTATCATTATTGAAACACAAAACAATGAGAATCTAGAAAATCTGGTAAAAGAAACTAAAAAAGTTATATGTGATAAAACTAATGTACCTATTGATGTGTTTACTATTAAGGGCAAAGTTATAGTGAAGTGTAAAAACATTTGTGATGTAAACAAAGTTGAACAAAAGCTAAAAGAAGATTTACCAGAAGGTGCAAGAGTTAACATTGAACAAAAGCAAAATCCAAAGATAAAAATAATTAGAATAGATGATCACATAGAGTCTAGGGATAACAGTGATACAGAGGCCGATATTCGCGATAGAAACATGCTGCCACTGAGTGGAACAATAAAGGTTGTACATAAATACATTAATAGGAAAAACAACTCCTGGTCTTTAATTCTGGAAACAAATTCAAATGCTTATTCAATGATTATGAAGGAAAAAAAGATATATTTGGGTAGCCAAAGATGCAGAGGTTTTGATGATTTCAATATCACCCTTTGCTATAAGTGTGGTATGTATATGGTCACAATGAAAAGAAATGCAGGAACAATATATGTTGCCTGTATTGTGCAGGAAATCACTCATAAGAGTGTAACAGACGTGAAGAATTGAAATGCATAAACTGTGATAAATACAACAAAAAGACTAGTGCTGCAAGTATGCATGGTGGAGGTGTGTTGTCCCTACTGTGGCGCACGAGGTGGACAATATCGGCAACTAGAGCGTCAATTGTGAAGTGAATTTGCTTGCGGTTTTTCCAATGGGTTTTTCACATTTTTAGTATTATAAACATGCATATTACAAGGTGCAGTGATTTTTATTGTAAAAATATTAGCAAATACAGTTCAATTTTCATTTTTCAAAAAAATTTCATCAATTTTTTTATAAACAAATTGCGCGTCAAAAGTGCACAAGATGTCGTCCCAAACGTTTTACATAGCGAATAGATCATGCAGAAAACAACACAAAGCTGTGTGATTCATACAAATATTTCCTGACAGGGAAGATTAATGCTACAGACTATCCCTTCAGCCCTATTTCAAAAAAAAAAAACTAAATCAAACTAAACTACATAGACTTAAAACAAAAATTATTCATCAGATGGATATCGACACCATTTAAGGTGATTTTGTACCAGTAGAAAGGGAAGTTGAGGGTATTAACAAGCTATTGAACATTAACGATTTCACGATCCTGCTTTCAAATGTCAGAAGCCTAAATGGCAAATGCAAATTACAAAAACCTGGAAGTCTACCTTGACAGTCTTCAAATCAAATCAGATGTAATTGCCTGCTCCGAAGTCTGGAATATCTCGTATGTACAATACTTTAATTTACGTATTATGATAGTTCAATAGATAGAGCCGATGGCGTAGTTATGTAAGTAAAAGACGGCTTTGTTTTGCACACAGAAGTGCAGGAATATGATCAGTTACGCATTTTGAACTCTACTATTGCTTTACATTGACATGAAAAGACATCTATGAAAATATCAGTAGTGTCTAGATGTCATGATTTTGATAAAAATCTTTTCGTGGGTGTATTTAAAAAGTTTATGGACAATAATAGCAGCGTCAAAAATCATTTGCTGGTAATAGACTTAACTCCTACATAAATTACAAGAACTTGTCGATAGAGGCTATTAAGGTTGATTGGGAAGTTGTATTTGCCATAGATGACCCAAATGTTGCTATAAATATAGTCACCAATAAATCTACTTACACAAATAAAAAAGGAAATGGGAATAGGGTAGGGAACACGTGGATAACAAAAGGAATTATTAAATCATGTGACAACTTGTAAAACAAAGGAATTTTTACATAGTTTATGGAAAAAGAATCCGACTAGTGAACAACTTAAGAGAGGCGTTTAAATAAAATGTCATTTACAGACCTTCACAAATTTCTGTTCAATTCCAAATTTAGACCACTTCTCAGTGAAATGAAGTTATGTTCATAACAATAATAGATTGGAGTATGGTTCGAAGCATTTTTGGTTGCAAAATACGCATTCTAAATAGTAAAATTATTACTAATTTTGTTGACAACAACATGCAAATTTTGGTCACGGATTTAAATGAAAAAGGGATAAACACATAGAGTAGCACCCCAACAATAAATTTCAAAAATTTCGGATAGTAAAATGCTGGAAAAAATGAATAGAACAGAATTTTCAAAAATTATAATGTTTGTATCACAAAATTAATCAAAATCTGCCAAAAAAACGAGGTGATTGCTGTCATTTTCAGCAAAGACTCAAACCAAACGTGTGATCAGCACTTCTCTAA